AATGGCCCGAAGACGAGAAAATATCCAGTGAGGATTAGTTCTCTGAGATAAAATACCTTGTTGATGTCAGAGGTCATCGAAGAATGGCCAGACTGTTTGAAGCCAACAGTAACTCAAAGTAACCACCTGTTACAACCGACGTATGCAGATGAGCATCTCTGAATGCACAACGTGTTGAACCTTGAAGCAGATGGGTTACAACAGCGGAAGATCACACCTGGAGCCACTTCTGTCAGCAAAAAACAGAAAACTGAGGCTACAATTTTAATGAATTCACCAAAATTGTCAATAAAAGATCAGAAATGTTACCTGGTCTGATGAGTCTTGATTTCTGCTTCAACATTCAGATGGTAGGGTCAGAATTTTGTGTGAACAATGGATGGATACTGCCTTGTATCAGTGGGCTGCTGGTGTAATATATATATATGTATATATATATATACATATACATATGTATATGTACATATGTATATATAAACATATATATACATATATGTTTATTGTTCTGGATTCTTCACCTTGAAGAGTAGAGTATAGCACAGCTTGGAAACACACTTTCCCTAACCCTGACAAACAAGCACAGTTGCCAAATTGTAAACATGTGTCTTCTGTATGATTGTCAGTCCTTCATATCATTGTGGAGGAATTTTGCAACACTGCATCAGTTCGTTGACCAAACATCTTCGGTTGGTCTTCTGTCCAAAGAACATTGGTCCAGAAGTCTTGTGATTTACTCAGATGCAACTTTGCAAACCCAAGCTGTGCTGCCATGTTTGTTTCAGAGAGAAGAGAATTTCTCTTGACAAGCCATACATGTTGAGAAGTTTCAACATGCTAATTGAGGCCTGTAGAGTCTGAGATAGAGCTCTTGGGTTTTTGCAGTTTCTCTATTAGACATTCTGACCTCGGGGTGAAAAGTTTCTTTTTCACATGACTCAAAGTGTTAATTAGATTTATGTCAAAAAGACTTTTCAACAATATTACTCCTATTACTACTGCCCCAGAACACTGCCAACAATGACCCTGAAAACTAACAGCTGACAGATCAGTGTTCCATAGCAAGCTATCTCGCCTTTGCTTTGACAAAATGAAAGCTAGTTTCTAAACTGGATGCACTAACAAGTCTCTCAGTTTTTTGACAGCAACTAGCATAACATAGATTCAAGAATTACATGCAAAAACACTTCTTTAAACCCTCATATATACAAGTAGACAATACAGAAATGCATAGGCTTATTTGTTCTTCTGAACATTTTCCTTGCACTTTCCTGACTTGGTTGTTTTTTGTCTCTTTTGAGAGACGAGCTTTTCATAACTTGAAACCAAAGACAGTGTGAAAGACGGATGTCGTAAGGTTGATGCTACCCATTGCTTTCATGAATCTCAGTCACCAAAACTTTTTGGATGGTCAGTACCACACAACACAAGCGTCTACACTGAGAACAGACTCAGTTCAACAACTTGATATAGTGGATGAAGCCTAGCAAACTCCAATCAGCTCCATGTGTCTGTGTGGGACGTTTGTCCATTAATGTGTCCACACGCCTAACTCAACTATCCAAGTGGATGACTTATAAAAATATATAAATAACCCCACGTAGAGTAATCACGAATGACAAAACTAATCATAGAAGACAGGCTGTAGATGTCCTTTTTAATGCTGTAAAGTTGGACATTTTAATGCATAACACAATAGGGATTAACCGTTTGGAGGCAGCCTCAAGTGGTCACTAGAGGAACTGCAGTTTCTGCCACTTATCTTTTGGCTCCCTTTCAGCTCTGGAGGTTGCCTGTTGCTTGAAACAGATGGAAAGTGGCAGTCGTGTACTGACGTTCTATGTTCAGGATATTTAAATTATGTTTTGCCCCCCAGAGCTTTGCACTGTTAACATGACTGACTGTTAAGAATGCAGTTTATCTCCCTGGTGCTATCACCCTCTCCATTATGCCAACATCTTCTTCAAATATGGTCACTTGTGGTTATAAAAAAAAATCAAATGCCAAGAGCAGTAGGAGTCCACTGACCATTGAGTGACAGTGACTTTCTTACACAGTTAAATACAACCACACAGAGTCTTAGTATGGCTGCAAACTTATTCCTGGTGCTTTAGTCTTATTACCTGTCATATCCTTAACTTATTCAGGACTCAAGTTTTCCATATAAGACGCATTTTCACTTTCATTTTCTTATTTGCTCCTACAGTGTTCCTACTTTACCACATATTTACGTGTTTTGCTTTTGTGATTGATTTGTGTGAGTGCCCGTTATGAATCACTACCCATTACTCAACCTCTGCTCGCCTGTATGAGAGCCTGTTTATCAGCCCCTCCCTGCGCCTTGCAATTTCAGCCTGTAGAAGACAACATAGCTGAGACTGGTGCCATTTGAGTGAAATATATCCACTCTGATCTTTTGGTACTCAGGAAAGCCACTGGCACCCCACCCACTTGCAACGCATCCTCCTGGGACTGGTTGCCTGGCAACACTGGCTGATTGGGTTAGCAGGGTTAAGAAAGGGTCTGGCACGGGCCAAAGGAATCAGATCACTCCCATTGATCATCCTCTCTCTGCGCTCCGCTGAGAGCTGAGGCCGCAGCCATGAAAATCAAAGCCCTGCCTTCATGTCTGAGAGGGGGTTATTACGCACACGGGGGAGCCGAGAGAGACACAGCAGGCTTTGTGTGGTCGCACAGTCTAACATCCCATAACGCGCAAGGCGGTGTCCTGCTGCAACTACTCACTGTCGCAAGTGATGTGATTGTAATTGATGCCCTTTAAAGAGATTTCAGGCAATACAGAGGGCCGGTCTGGAGAGCGGGGGACGTGCAGACAAGCCTTCAATCTATAGAAAAGGTCCTTCTCTCTTCTGCCCTATTATCAGGTATTATGAAATATGGAGATCTATTTAAGGTCATTAGCTGGCATTGATACAGACACACAAGTTTTAAAGGGTGTCACTTGTGAGGAAAAGACGAGAGATGAGGGCGACAGGGTGGGTGGTGGTATTCCAAATGCCATCGGCTGCTCCAACAACGCAGGAGTCTCAGCGGGAGGGAGACACACTGGGCTGATAGAGATTCACATCGTACTATTTTTATCATTCATGCATGTAGTGGTTATAGCGATAGTCACCACATAGATCATAAACATGTGCATTTTGTAGATTTACAGTAGCATCCTGCTGACGCCTTTATTAAAGTTTACCGGAAACAACAGACGTCTTTTGCAGCAGATATTGAAAACTTTAACAACTCAAACTGCACTTTGCAAAGCTCAGAAAAAGTGTTAGGACCCAAACAAGGTCTACATTTGGCCAGGAAGGGGTACTGAAGATAAACTGTGAAGTCCACATCTGCTAACATGTATAGCTACTGAAAAATGTGAGCAAGTATTGGAAGAGTTGTTAGCAATGTTTAACCAAAAGCACTGGTCCATATACATTCTAATGATACACTGTGTTAATATATATGCATATCAAATGCCATATAATTGTGCAAATTTTATGTTGGAGTCTAATTTTGGGGTTTTTTTATAGTCTTTTACAGATTGAAAATTATTGCATCACCCTGGGCTGCAGCTATTTCAAGGAGTCCTTCACCTTTATGTTACAAGGAAGAAGATTTTTAGGGATATAAAAGGAAGCACCTCCCATATAGGTTTGGACATTTCATTTTTTTTAAAAAACATGTGGATGTATGTGTGTACCCCGTACTTTCTGTTCAAAACCAGCCCACACCAGTTCTTCCTTTCACAGAGTGCCAGTACCAGTGTTCAGACAGCCCAACTGTTCCACCAGTCCTGCAGGCCTTTGGTCGCAACTGCTGAAGTCCCAGAGAGGTGTAAAGTGCAGCGAAGCAGTGTGTGGCGCAGGCTGGGTGATCCCTCCCACATCTCTTTACTCATGCTCTTCCAAGGGGAGGTAGTCACCCGGCCAACTGGTGTCACAGTTCCTCCGCCAAACTGACTGAGTCACGGTGAAAATGGGGCAGAGACTTGGATTTTTTGGTCTCCCTTTCACCAGCTTTCCTTTGTTTCTGCAGTTTGGTGGGGGTTTTCACAACAAAATTAAACCCATTGTTGATAAAGAAGCAATGTCTGCTTCCTATTTTGGTTATTCCAACATAAATTCCACTCTTTGGTTCATTTGCATGATGTCGTTTTGTCTTATCTGGCTATGTGCAGTTTATTTTATATTTCATGCTGCTAATATTTCACCATTGTTCTTTGACCAGATTTTTTCCTTTAATTTATATGTCCTTTCTCATGTACCGTGACATCCCTTCAAAACTGTCGAGCGGATAGTCTCTTTCCTTTGAAAGAATGTGGTGATTTAGGTTTTCATCACTAGTTAGCGTCCTCTCAAACGTTATGAGTTCTGTTGATACTGGCTTCAAAGATTAGACGAAATTTTTTTTGTTGTTTACAAAAATTTATTCATACAAATCTTACAACACGTTTTTTTTTTTTAAACATTTATTGACTTGACCCTTGGCCATTCGAAGAAGTAGTCTAATATTCACTTTCCACACAGTAAATATATATATATATATATATATATTTCTATATATATCTTTGAAGATTATTTCATTTTCGTAAGGCTATTGGCGCTTTGAATTACCATACATATAATGTTTTATGGAGTGCGGAAAACTGCTTCTTCGCTTTATTTTCACAAAAATCCACATCTAGTGCTCTAAACACAAAGTGCAAAAAAAAAGCAGCGCAAGCAACAGTGCTTGACGTCTAAGATGAATGATGCTTAAGACTATATCAAACATCTGTGCAACACAAAAACAACAGCAACAACAACAACAACAAAAGGGTGAAATGTAAGCTGATGATGTGCAGCATTGTAGGGCCACTAAATAGCCATCTAGGATTCATGGCGATTTTAAAGTCGATGCAAGGCACCACAGCCGCAAACTGCTTCCTGCGTCACAAACCCTAGAGGGGAATGCAAAATTAAAGAAAGATTGATACAGTAAACACAAATTGGAAACGTTTACCCTGCTGTTATTCCTTCCTAACACATTTGGTAAGAAGTGTGCAGATTGTAGGGGCGGCGGGGGACCACTAAGACTTTGAGTTTTTGGTCTAACCGTGCTGGTTGTATAAACTTGCCCTGATCCCTTTCAAAATCAGCATGTTCTTTGTCATTTGACCCACCCCTGCTTCCCTTACTTCAGTTCTCTTTGTGTGTTTCTAACCCTGCTTACATCATATCCTCACTCTCTTTTTTTTAATATAATCAATCATTGTGGCTTTTGCCGTATAAAGATACTAGAAAATGAATCATCCAGTTATTTTTTCTCGCACACAATTCAACAGTAGATTACAAAAATCTCCCTTGCCTAAGTAACAAACCCATAAAGTATGACATTAGATTGGGAAACTCTCGCCAGTGCATTCAGAGAGGACATACAGCTTTGTGTAGAAATGTGAGGGAAAATGTGAAGAGAACAGAACACAAAACAACATCCAGAAATGAAAGGCGTGTATGTTTGTAGTAGTCAGAAAGCAAGCAAAACCATCTAGTTGGAGTCGTCTGCACAGATGCGGTGGCTAGTGCAATTACTTTAATCATGCAATCTACTGTAGTTTTTACATCGGTTCACATGACAGAGAATGGAAGCACAATAGACCCAGAAGGTTCAAACACAAAGCTTCAAACTGCCTTGTTATGTCTCTCACAAAGAACAAACTGATGAATAAGTTACCATGTAACAAGTATCGTTTCTTTTTTTTTTCTTTTAAATTTGCCTGATGGTGCTTGAGATGTTAGTGATACTTATTAAATGGGCAGAGAGGCGTGAGAAAACCTTTAGCAGAATAAGAGGTTTCCAAAACACAGAATCCAGAAAACACAAGATTGGCACTTTACACGAGTCAAAGGTGTGTGTGTGTGTGTGTGTGTGTGTGCGTGTGTGTGTGTGTGTGTGTGTGTGTGTGTGCGTGTGTATGTGTGCGTGCTCACTTTGTAAACACCAAGGAAGAAAAAGGGCAAGAAAAACCTCAAAAGTACTCTGGTCTTCATCTCAGATTTGGAGGCTTTTATTTTGACAAGCCTCTCAAATTTACTTTAACAAAACTGGCATTTTTTCCAGCCAACTAAAATTACTTTTTTTTCATGTCTCCACACTTTTTTTGTGGATAGATGGGTTAATTAAAAGCAAAAATCTGTGAGAGTCTAGAGAGACAGGAGCACAGATGAGGTGGAAGAAGAGGTTGAGTTTTGAGTGTTTGAAACGAGAGCTGAAGGTGAGGAGGGGAAAAAAGGAGGGGCGTAAGAAGCCCCTTGCAAGGACACAGCCTCAGGAAAGAGCCTGAAACTCACCGGGATTTCGGGAGAGAACTGTTTCAGCCATTCTCCCAAAAAAGCCTCAAACTCATCCCCGTCCGGGAGGGCATCAAAGTCTATTTCTTGTAGGATATGGTGAAAACCTATGTCTTCAAGGCTGTTGTGAATAAAGACAACTAAACTCTTAATGTCACGTCACAAAAAGCAGCATTCAATACATTGATTGTCTTTTAAACTATTTATTTTCCTCACATTCATGTCTCTTTGCTAATTTTTTAAAAGACAGGGCTGTTGGAGCATATCAGTCACGTCAGACAACTGTGTCCCCTCAATAAATTAGCCTAAAATGAGTAAATCAATGAATACAGAAATAGAGGCTAAATTTTCTTAAATCAACAACAACAAAACAAACAAACAAACAAAGAAAAATTGGTCCACAAAGTAGATATGTGCGTTCTCAAGTGCTTTAAGTACAAAATAAAAAACAATATTATTATCAAAATATTCATTTTAATGGCTTACTTCATACATAAATACATGTTTAAGAACACAAAAGCGATCCACTGATTGGTCAGATTTCAAAATGACTTCATCTGGGGCTGCACACACTTTGATTTTGTTTTTTTTGTTTTTGTTTTTGTTTTGTTTTTCAGGAGAGGAGGAGGAAGATGCTACAAATATGCCAGCCGCCGTCCTTTGTTTCTAATTCTCTGTCTATACCTTTTCCCAAGGACCGCCGCCAGGTATTTCTTGACTGCCATTTGCTTTCTGTAGCGGCTGTAGCTGTCTGTGAAGATCCCATCTGAGTGTCGCTTGGAGAGGGGCTCTGAGCTGTCATCCAACATTTTCCCCCCGCTGTGGGAGAGACGAGAGGCGGGTCTCACTACCAGCACACGGATACATGATGCATTCACAAGACCCACCCACGCAACCCACCCATATGTACAGCCTGTGGTGCTAAATCTATTTTGTTTGTGTTTTTCCTTAAAAAGGAAAATCATTGGATAACCACATTCCTCCTTTTTGATCACCAGCCAGGAGAGCTGTGGATACACTCACTCTGCATCCTCAGTTTAAAACATTTGTTGGAGATTTACTGACAAAAACAGGCAGCATGGTAGAGAGCACAAGAATGATCTTACAAAGGCTTTTTCTACACTGATTCATGCTCCCTCTGCTTAACTTTTAACCCACCCCTTCACTATTTTTCATGCCTGCACTGAGATGTGATGGGCCTGCTCATAAGGCTGTAGAGGAACTGCAACCCCCTCCACCACCCTCCACCCCTCCTTCCACCGGGAACCACTGGGACTCAGTCCCCATAAATAATTCATTTGGAGATAAATTTAAACTTGTGCGGCTTAATTCTTCCCTTTGCGCCTTTAGATTGCTGCCAGCTCAGAAAATGACACTTCCCAAATCAATCAAGAGCCCATTTGTGTTCCCCCTGACGATTTTCTATAGCATTAATAAGGGCTGATTCAGAGGGCGAGGGCGATTTATTTAGCAGCACGCTGGGAGATAATGGGACCACAGACATATACAGTACGTATAACAGCGTGAATTATGAGTTTTTAAAGAAAACCAACGGAGAAAAAACACACATAGGACAGAACACATTTAATATAAGAAAAGAAGAGGTGACAACCAAGAAGAAGCTCTTACCCTACACGTTTTGCCATCAGAGAATGAAGGTATTTCCTTGCTGATAACTGACCCAGCGCTTTCCTGTAGGCTTTATTAAACATGCCGTCTGCATGTCTTTCCGTTCTGGGATGATAGATAGCCACACAGTAAAATCACCACACAATGTCAAGTCGCTACACTGCAAAAATATCCACCTTAAATAGATTATTTAGGCCTAAAACGGGCTTTTTTTTAAACCTCCCTCCACCCTTTAAGTAAAAACTCTACGAGTCACTATGAGATCATTTCCTTTGTGGTTTACAGTGAATCCGTAAAAAGCATTATTTTTCCCAAGACATTCCTCTTGATTCAAAATAACTTTTTTTTTATTTTTAATTTTTTAGCTTATTTAAAGAAAAACAAGCTTTTGAGTCTTCACGGGAGGTAAATTCAGCGCATCCTGACGCAGAGAGACGTTGCTGATCCCCCCCACCCCCCACCCTTTTTCTTGGAAAGTGAAGATATTAATCATCATCTCTATTCTTTCATTAAATTTTAATGACTTTAATCAATGACTTTTCCCCGGGATACCGTTTCAAAGCAGACTGATTTGTTTTTGTTTTTGTTAAAGCTTCAAAACAAAAAAAAATGATTAAAATAAAACCTTCGTGTTTGAAGTTACAAAATCTCGACAATACATTGATTAACACGTAACATACACATACATGGACATAAATAGGGACTG